AGCTCCGTCTCCGAGGCAGCGCTGTCTGACCGGGTCTGAGGGAACACGCTGCTGAGAGGCGGACGCTGCAGTTTGAGGGGACATGAAGACATCTCCTAGCACAGGGTTTCCAGGGAATGAATTGGTTTCCCTGTTCTCATTTTCTATAAATACTGCGTACACAAACATTTCCACTTCCCCTTAGTAATTTAAGGGCAAAAATATTTACCAAAACCAAACACGTAGATAGAGTGGTTTTTCCTGGACAACCTAAAACAGGGCTTTTGTTTCCATTTGCTTTGCTCCCAGTAAGAGCCGAGATGCTGGCTGTAGTGGCAGGCGCTGGTGGCAACAACTCCCTGTACTGTTACAAGTGCCGATGGGAAGAGGTAAACCTTCACACCCCTGCTTCCTTCTCCTGTCCGAAGCAGGGTCACGCCGTCAGCCATTCCTTCCACCTCCCCACAACGCAGCGTGCTAGTCCTGTCCCTCACCCATCGCTGCTGCGCTGGGCAGAGCCTCTCGGCTCTGGTCCATGTCCTCACACTACTGCTCTCCACTGCAAACCCCTTGCCGTGCCACTGGTGGGGTGCACAGCGTTGTCTGGTAACACGCGGCCAGTTATGTATTATACAGAAAGATTACAAAAGTCCTAGCACCATAGCAACATGCTAGGGCTGAGTTATGGCATTAGAGTACACGGGATAATCAGTAGGTAGTGGTATCTAAAATGAGAGCTGTAATTTAAGCTTTTTTCTGTTTCAATGTGAATAGGGAAAGCATGTTTTCTACGTTTAGACTTGCTAAAATAATGATTGCTTTATTCCACATCCTATTGTGACATCCTGTGGTTAAGCGCAGTATTACAGATACTGTCAAATCACAACTTTGACCACGACTGCATAAAACCAGACCGTATGGAATTAGCAGCGGCAGCTCCTACCTCCCAGCTTCAAACATTCAGTTTGGCCACCTACAGCCTTCCCTATAGCTTTGATCTTCTCCAAAAACTTCTCCTGGATGAGAAGAAATCCCACTGGGCCAAACATGAATACGGGATAGCTCAGGTATTCTGTTCTACGTTGGCCAGAAATTACGTTATCTGTGCCCTTTCTGATAAAAGTCAGGGTGCTGATTGTTCATATGATATCACTGTGAGGGACCATAAATACGCATTTCCTCTTTAGGCAGCATTTGTACTGTAGGGATTAAGCCTCTTCAAAGAGAAATGAGAGGCACGCAACAGCCTTTGCATGACTGCAGTACACCTCAAGGTTATATAGAGCATATATGCATTAACTGCACTTACGCTCGCATCTCTCAGGGTGTCATCAAAGATTATTTTTCCCAGGTCAAGGAAAACAGCATTCTCTGCTACGCAAACCGCCCATCCTCCCGCCTCAGCAGAACAGCATTGGGCACTTAGAGCTTCAGGTGATTCAGGGGACTGCAATTACCCTTCAGTTAGTCCTAAACCAACACTCCAGCCCACCAGCCCCAGTGCGCAGAGGAATGGCTCCAATGACACATGAAATTGAGGTCTTGACCCCCTGACATCATCAGCAAGCCTTGGCATTTTTCTCACAATTAGCTGGATGAGAGGTCTACTTAGATCCCAGCTGGGGAATTAGCATTGTTCATTAACAGCACATTTCCATTTCATCAACCTACATTTCAGGCCTCAAGCTAAGCAGCTGGATATTCATGCAGTTTTAAAGAGCCAAGACAGCTGATCAAGATAATAGATGGAGCATATCTGTTATGTCTTCAGTTATTTAAGCTTTTCAGGAAGACAGCGAGAGTAGGTTCCCTAGAACAATGCTGTATTTTGGCCTCATTCTCATTACACATGGGACACAAACAGTTAATGCCACTTTCTCTGGCTTCCTTTTTACCCCAACTGCAAAAAATACCCATGCAAATCTAGGTTGCTATCTAAGGGGTAATAAATTATGAAGAATTATATTGTCCATGCCTCTGAGCACTAGCCTTCAGTGAATTGCTTAGGGAGGGCTTAGAAAAACTAGGTATGGCTCTATAAATCAAGTACTTCCAATGACATTCAGAAACCAAGAGGCAGCTTTTTATAAAACTGGCTTCATGTTGATGTATGCTCTTTGTGAAGCAGAATGCTGCACTGTGCACCAGTTCATTTCCACAAGGACTGAGACATATGACAGCAGCTTGCATTTCAGACTTTCATCTTAGGAAACTCATAGTCCAGGCTTAGCATGAGATAGCAAAGCTCACTGGGTCTCACACTGATTTTAATCGTTGTCTTACCACCCTTCCCCAGTCTCCTCCATCAAGTATTTTTCATATTATTACAGCTCTTATTCTAAATATAGGAACAAATGAAGCTGACTTGGCAAGGGTGACAGTTTATTGAATGCAGAAAACATGATACAAAAATAAGTTACTTGCATAGAAAATTTTAAAGACCTAGAGACAAGATTAACTCTAAAGCAGACAGAAGTTTGATCCAGATGTGAAGAGCCTCTACTATCTGCACCTGAAAGACATGAGAACACACTGTAAGAGTTACACGAGACCAAAACTTCCAGTCACAAGCAGATACACTCTGGCAGGGAAGGGCTTGGGCATTTATTTCAAGCAAGAGGCTTGCTATGCTTTCCTCAGCATTCTGATGACACATTTTCCCAGAACTTGTTTAAGCCTCATGCTGAGCAGGTGGGCGACCAGCCTGCTGTTAGAACAGTGTGATGTCCTCATGCTTGTGTCTATATAGCCATTTTAATCATTACAGCACAGAGAAGGAAAGATCCACTTCTGCTGTCACAACCCCTGTACCACGTTCCCAACATCAATTAAAGGTCAATTACCAGCTCTCAAGCAGTCAGTGGTACAACACTGGCACTCCTACACCGTGCTGACACAAGATTATTTTTAAACAATCTTGTTTGGTTTTTCTCATTCTACAGCTTATACCTGTTGTGCTGAAGGCTCCCATTAGATGGCACTCCACTTGCTCCTGTTGACTCGAAGGCAGCTTGAGAGCCTCTCACCAGAGCTGCATATCTACAAAGAAACACAACCAGGCTCAGCACCTCTTACACACACCACCAGTAGTTTCACTCTTCCATCCAGTTTAATTATCTGCATCTGTCAGGCAAGTCTTACAGTCCTATTGCACAAAATAAGGAAGGTACATCTGCCTGCAAGAGATATTTTTTTTAATTAAAACTAAGTTTAAGCTTTGCTTAGCAAGGTATTGATTTTGTTCTTTGTTACTTAAGGTGCTGGGAAAAATATTAGGATCCTAATATTTAGGTCTAGACCCCAAAAAGTACTTGAGATGGCCAGTGTCTATTCACAGTTAGGAGATACTGAGAGTCATGCTGTTGAGATAGAAGCTTCTTGTCAAATGCCTTCCAAAAACGATTTCAAGTTTGCCTATCTTGGCTCAGAGACTTTCAGAAATAGGCCCAAAACACAAGGAGGAAATAGCAGGTATTGCATGGAAGTGGCCAGTAGTTTACAGAATTCCCCACTTGTCCAAGCTCCCCACCAACCCCTGATACTCACTCTGAAATTTCAGCTTGAGCTCAAAGTATCATAAATGCAGCATACCCTGCCTTGGAGGTGGGGCGGTTGCTCCCTTTACAGTCGTGATCCAGAGGATGCCGATGTTTTATGCAGAAGTTGCCACCGCACTGTTCACAGAGTACCTTCATCATCTCCTTCCTTTTGCAGCCTGGCTTCAAGCACTTGTTTGTGAAGATCTAAATAACAGAGAACATGACACTGGCAATGCTTGCTCACTTGTTGCAATCAGATTCCCAAGTGATTGCCAAGCTGAAGCACAAATGCTCAAGCGGCCTTAGAACTAAGGTGAAACAGAGCAAGCTTCTACACATTCTGCTGTCAGCAGACCTAACTTCACAAGCATTATGCAGGCAGTTCAGACTTCAACAGCGCTTTCCTTACCCTCTGCTTCTGCTGTGCTGGATTGTATTTGCAGTCTGTATCCATGTGGGCTCCAACCACAATATCTGGTATTTCCCCCTTCTGAACTGGTATAGGTGCGTTGCAGAGCGGACACACTGGAACCTGCACATTCTAAGAACACACACCACAGATTACAAGTCCCACCCTATTATTTTTCTGCTTTTCCCCTTCTTTTACCCATGGGTGACAAGTATATTCACAAGTGGTTTATGTTCTACTCATTTACTAATGTTCTGAAAGATATCCCTCACAACAGCAGCTGCAAATCATTATCCACAAAACAGGTGTGCTTTGCCAAATCAATTTGTAGCAACCTACTTGGTAAGTTGACTTTACATCTGTTTCTAGGCTTTCTGCAATTACAGGCTTTGAACATTTCAAAGCTCAAGCACAGGCCAGAGATCAGTGTTTAGCCCCACTTATTCACTGTTTATTTCTTCTGTAGGTTCATGTTTGCTGTCCTTCAGCTTGACGGACACGAGCTGCAGAAAGTTTTAGGCCACACTACTTTAAACGTGAAGTACCCCTCTTTGGGAAGATGTGTTCCAAGTCAAAGAAACTAGAATCTGGTGGCACCGACCTCCAAAATGTCACATTTCTGGATGTCTGGAATTCAGCTGTGTCATTAACTTGTATCTTGTGGTTCTCCCATCCACTTTTACTGAAACCACAGGTCAAGATTCAGAGCAGCATTTCACTGTGACTCGGCAGCTCTGCAGCATGAACTACTGACTCACACATAGGAACTTACTTTCTTGTAGGCTGAGCTACACGTGTGGTCATCGTAACGGATATGGTCTTTGCAGAAGACTTCCCCACACGCATCGCATTTCAGAGGAAGGAAGTCTGGGAGTAGAATAAAAAAGAAAAGATTCTCATGGAGCAGAGCTAAGAGCTATACAGAGCACTCACAAAACACCATGGATAAACCTCTAAAGCAAATCATTTTGGTCTAGCCACACGCCAGTTACCTCTAGAGAAAGTGTGCCACTCTTCATGACTATTACAACTAAAAAAAGTAAGAGTGGTAAGTTTTCCCTCTTTTTATGCAGTTAGACTAACACAAGCACAAACAACTCAGGAGCTCCTCGACTGCAGGAGCACTCAGCAAGGCATCAGCCAGGAGCTCAGAGTCAACACAAACCCAAAGCCCAGGCTCGAAAGTATTTTTATTCTTTAACAAACGCCTCTTCACAGCGTAACACCACGCATGCACCGGGCGCGCCGGGCTCCGCCGCTGCCCCTCCA